ACGATAGGGAAAGATTATTATGGATTTTATACATTGTCACAGCCAACTGTTTAAGTCTTACATATTCTAGCCTTTCCCAGCCACGCTCATCCAACAAAACACTTGAGCGAACGTCATAGTTAGGAAAGGTGAGAATTCTAGCAGCCCTATTCTGCAGCTTTTGAAGTTTGTCTGCTAGTCCCTTATTGATATTACCCCATACGGCACCACAGTAATTAAAATATGGCATTACCAGAGCATTGTACATATTCACTGTAGTATCAAATGGTATAAAATGACTTACACGCCTTAAGATAGCGATACCAGCGGATATTTTCTTTGAAATGGTATGAATGTGTGGGCGCCAGTTCAAAGATTCATCAATTTGAACTCCAAGGGAATTATGTTTAATCACTCTTTCTAAGGGTGTATTATTGACTTTGACTGTGAAGTCACTATTTATTTGGGATAACTTAAACTGGCTCCCTATAAGCATGTATTTAGTCTTCTTAACATTTAAAGTTAATTTGTTTGCTGACAGCCATGATTGGATTAAATTCATATCATAATTCATTTTATGTTCAAGGACACATGGGTCTTCTGCAGATGTGGTAAGGGTAGTATCATCTGCATACATTCTGAGTTTTGAAAACAAATTACATGAAGGGAGATCATTAATATAAATAGTGAATAAGAGAGGGCCTAAAATAGACCCCTGTGGAATACCACATGTTATATTACAGAAATCAGATTGAACTCCATCAATGAACGTTCGTTACTTTCGGTCAGATAGATAGGACTGGAACCAGTTAAGAGATTGAGAACTGACCCCATAGAGTTTAAACTTTCCCAGAAGGATAGCATGATCCATGGTATGAAAAGCTTTTTTCAAGTCCAGGAATATCACAGCATTTAAGAGGCTGTTGTCAATATTCCATAGCCATTCATTCGTAGCCTCAAATAAAGCTGTTTCAGTGGAAAACATAGGTCTGAAGCCAGATTGTGATTCAGTTAACAAGTTATTATTACTTAAATATTCATATAATTGATTAAAAACAACTCTTTCAATTAATTTACTTACTACAGGCAGAACTGAGGTAGGTCTGTAGTTGTTAGGATCAGTCCTGAGGTCTTCTTTAAATATTGGCGACACCGTAGCTCGTTTCCAAGCATTTGGAAATATTCCAGTGGTAATTGATTGATTGATTATAAAAGTTAGACTGCGAGTAACTATGGGAGACGCTTCTTTCAGGAGACGTGCTGAGATGTTATCAAGACCACTGGCTTTATTACTCGGTATTTTCTGAATTAAATTGAAGACCTCCTGGCATGATACTTTTGCCAAATTAAAAATGTTTTCTGCCGGAGTAATATAATCAGTAAAATTACTGGATGTATCTTTAATTTCAGAGGCTAAGGAAGGTCCTATTTTGGAGAAATGTGTGTTGAGTATATTACTGATTTCGATGGGGTCAGTATTTACAGTATCCCCAGTGTCCAGCTGAGTTATCTTATTAAATTTAGGTTCATTTCCAATTAGTCTATTAATTCCTTTCCAAGTATTCTTTATGTTTCTGCGGTTATCTTTGAAGAAGGCATTGTAATAGTTCATTTTAGCATTCTTAATTTCATAATTAACCTTATTCTTCATGTGTTTGTAAGAAGTCCAATTGCCATCTGTTGGGAACCTTGAGGCTAATTTTTTGAGTATTCTACATTGTCACTTAGCAAGTGTGACTTTAGCCGCTTGTTTAACGCAGAGGTCATGGCATACATATCGATTTTCTGTGGCGTTTGTTTCTGGTCGGCAGGATTTGCCCTCTGATGAGAGAGCATTTTCTTTGACCTCTAATTTGAAGCGTAAAGCTTTTTATTGCGGCTGAATAAGGGTTTTAATTTTCTCCAAAGTGCCTTCTGGATCTGACTAACTAAGTGATTTTCTTTAGTCCGTGAATTAATGTAATATTTTTCTGCAATGTTGTATCACGCTGGGCCCAGCTCGTTAGTTTCTTTACAGAATGTTAAATTATCACGGATAGTGATTTACAGATCAAGAATGAAGTGCAGCTTAAACGTAAGCTACATCAACTAAGGAGAATCACCGATGCCAAATGGCTGCGGCCGAAAATCCAAGCTTTTGCAGACAGTGCCACTTGGTCTCGCATTATAGATATCAGCGGCGAAACGACTACTATCGTAGAATTTTCTAGGGTTAGAGCAGCTTTAGCCAAGTGTGGGAATAGCTGAAAGATTAAACTTTTGCCGAAACCGGTGGGAATAATACCGAAAACATCTTCACCTCGAGCCAAGTCGTCTCGTCATCTTGGTGATGACAAACTGATGACCACGCTACTAGGTGATGATGTTAACTGTCACAATTGACCAATCAGAGGGTATATCAGGAGCTGATATACCGGAACAGGCCGTTAAAAAAATGCGTACAGGCTCCGCCGCCCTGTCTCTCCCCAGCCCCCGCGCGTTTTTCGCATTTTTTTTTCTGAAAGACTTTTCACCACTATTTCGGAGCCTGGAACAGGCTAGATCAAATGGCGCCGCTGAGCTTCACATCTCGGTAGATTTACTTTGTCACACAACGGCTGCCGAGCTACACAACTCGGTAAATTTACTTTGTGGCACAACGGGCGCCGAACTAAACCCGGTTTGATGCATGCACCAGGAGTAGCAGACATTTTCTAAAGACAGTGACGAACCATGCTGAAAAATATGAAGGCTTAATCCAAAGTAAAATTTAACAGCAAACTTCTGAAAGATGAACGCTTTGGACGATTCAGCAAACACAGATCGATGTACACTTTACGAAGATTCAGGAAACTTTTTAAAAGATGAACGCTTTACGAAGACAGAATATCAGAACCCAGCAAACCTTTGAAAGATGAACGCCGAGGACACAAGAATCACCACCTGAGTTAGCGCGTCAAAGTGAGGCAAAACGTAAGCAAGCACCTCAAAGCGAGGCAAATGTGTGTCGACGACGAAAATGCAATCTTAAAAAAACCTTCCTTATTAATTGCACAGGACACCCAATAATGCACAAAACACCCAACACAAATTAGGGGTTGCGTTCTCGTACTTCGAACGCAACAAGCTATTAGACAGGGGAAGTTGCGAAAAATTACAAAATGTTTGCTAACCCGGTTTTCATAACTCCAGGTAGATATCTCAATGTAGACACTCCACCTCGTGAGGTAATTGCAGGAAGAAATTGCTCTGCTGTAAGGACGTCTTACCTTCGTTAACAAAAGAGCGTACATGGTTTTTCATTGTTGCTGCAAAGCGGTCACAAGCGCCCTTTCCTCCTTGTGGATCGGAGAAGTCTAATTGTGGAATGAAGATTCCCGATCGCTGGCTGATGTCTTTACAGGCAAGGATGGTGTTGGCTGCATGGTAGCAGCCTGCATTGTCTTGGCGATAAAAGGCGCTTTTGATCTCAGGGTGTTCCCTCTTGAGAGTAGAAAGAACATGTTCCATTAACTGGACAACACAGGGGCTGTCCTGGATACACTTCTCAACTACATGCACGAACGCCTGTGTTTCAAGTTCACTCTCTTTCTTTCTGTTGGCTACAGTGATGTTCCAGGAGATCCCTTTTTTCGCAAACCATTCTCCTTGGGATTCTCGGTACTGACGAGGGAGAAATTTCATAGCCCAGTCTTGTACAAGGAGCACTTTGCTGTCATCGAGGCATTCAATGACGTCTGTACGGGCATTATCCTGAGTCTGAGCTGGTGTGACTTCCAAAGCTGAATTGCTCGAGTTGCTTCTTGAAATCTGTGAAGAGCATCCTCCTTATCATACTGGCACTCGAAGCAGGATTCCTGAATTGCCTTTTGGGTGTCGGACAGAACAGCTTTAAGGTCTTCACAGCGATTGCATATCAGGTCATGATCTTGAGTGCAGGTACCTCTAAAAGCAGGATCTTTACTGTCACTTAGTGCATATTGGCTGGCTACAGTGATCTGACACGCGCGAAGAGCTGGAAACGTGAACCTATTGTAGAAGCAAGATAGTCTGAGAGCAAGATTACGCGAGACCAGACTATTCTGGAGAATATACATAAAATATGACAGAGACACTAAACAATGACAAAAATGTTATTTTTGACAGCGCATCATTTGACAGATCGGATTGGCAAATAATTCTCCATAAAAAAATTAAAAAAAACCTTTTCCCCACTGTATCACTCCCACTCGTCATTATAAACAGTGTGCTTTAAAGTACACTCTTCTTCAAATCATGAGCGCCGAAAGACATGGTAAATTGTGTAGGTAGAAAAATATCCATACCCTCACCGAGGTTACTTTTGTTTTAGACCCCCACCCCCTGGAATTTCTATTTCAGGGGGTGTTTGTCATACCCCTTCTCTTAAACCAATGAACTTCAATTACTTCTTTTCAGTTACAAACGTGTTAGAAGAAAGCTTAATACAACATGACCACATTATATTGAATACCGCAATATATTGTGCAACAAAGCAACACATAGATAACCGGACGTTTATTCACGAGCCGACGACAATTGTTATATAAAATCGTGCAAGCTGTAAAAAAGCACTCAGCCGACTGCAAATAAAAGATCATCGATGAAAAAAAAAATTTGCTTTGGAACACCGATTGAGAGTAAAATAACTAATAGCTTGCCACCCCCACCCCCTCAAAAGCTGCTATCTTATGGACCCCCCTCCCTTCCGAATTTCCGTTGCCCTCCGTGGGGCAGGGGGGTATGGACATTTTCTGGAATTACACATTTAATAATTATATTACCATAGGTTCTTACTTTGAAATCCGTTTTAACGTAATTCTTTCCCTCCTTTAACTTCATCTGTAGGTTTTGCGCTGTACGTGCGTCAAACCCACAGTCAACAAGGTTCCCAATGAGTTGTTCCAAGTCATCAAAGACCTTGTTACCCTCACAAACAAAGTAATCGAGACCTTGTAAGGACTTTCGCGTAGATGCCTGACAGGAGGATAAAATGCGTCGTAATGTGCTATTGCTTAGAGGTTTCACCTCTGTTTCGTTGCAATACTGTACGTATTGGTGTCAATGATGTGTCCGCTGACCGATACTCTGATAACATTCGGTGTCTGCACTACTTCCCCAGTCGACAATTTCAGAAACCGTTCACCGAATGGTAAATCCTGCATGATGTAGGGACTGGTAATAAAATCCAAGAAGTGATCCAACTGGTTAAGATCGATTCTCCATCTCGGGCTTTGTTTTGCAACTACAGGAGCTCCTCGCCCAGAAACTAAAATATGTTGTCTTGCTTGACAAAAGATATATTTTGTTAGGTCTGGAATGTAATTGCGTATTTCTTGCAACGTGGTGATATCCGCCATTATAGAAAGAATTTGCAGTTTAACATTTGCACTTGTGGCGTTATTGTATGATTCAGAAAGCGCTCGCAGATACTTCACGTCATCTTCTCTTAAGGCAACCTCTTTACGTACTTCTAAAGCTTCACATATGTCGTTAGAGTCCTTTACGTTTAGCCACAGTTCACAGGGATAATTTGGTGACAGTACTCGCAAAACAGCAACCATAACTTGGCATGCTTCAGCTATGTTTCTTCTTCTTGTTCTTTCTGCTGCTGTTGGTGATCCCATGTCTACCTTACGAACTGGAGCTAAGCCAGAACTTTTAAGAAATTCGTTCAACTGAGTTTTTCTAAATTCTACCACATGCGATCTCATCGCATCTGCAACGAGACTTACTCTTTCTTTTTCGACTTTTTTTAACTTTCTTCTCTCAGCTTCTATGGGTGAAAGAACCTGCAAATTTAATTAATAACTTGTTTTAAGTTTTGAAAATTTTAATCATTGGTAACCAGGGGAGAAAGGCTAAAAGTTTCTCAATTTTCAACTCGTTAAAGTCAATTGCTTTTCAAATTGGTAAGATGTAGCTCGTATAGAAACAGATACCGGAAAAACAAATGTAGCTTACCAGGGAGTTGCCTTTATATCCACAATCGGTCCCACTAGTGTCTCCACAACAAACATCATTATCACCACTATTTCCGCCACTATCACCGTTATCATCCCGACCACCAACAGTGTCATTTGGAGCGGCTAGAGTGTAAACATAATCACAGCCGTCATCTTCCTGATTATTAATATCAACGCCAACATCTCTCTCATCACCAACGTTATTGCAACCAAAATTATCATCGCTACACGAACAATCGTTACTACCACTATCACCAACGCCACCGGACACTTGAACTTTGCAGATGTCATCGCCTTTCCTACAACTATAAAGGCTACCCTCAATGCTATTGCCATCCGCATGGAATTTAGAAAGATCCCTAACGTCGTCATCAACATTAGCATCACTATAAATTCCTTCACATTCCTTTCTATCGCAATCGTCGATGCTTAAATCAGAGCACTGTTTCGTTGCATGCAAACTGCTTGTTCTCTCTTGGACTTTTTTTGTAGAACTGTCTACTTGACAATTTGTTAGTTTTTCTTCTTGACAGATTTTTTTTACTTTGTCTCTGCACTGTCGACAAATAGCAAAGAAAAAGAAACAAAAAGCAAATATCAAAATAGGCAAATATAAGCCAGAATTAAACACTTGATCCAAACGTAGTAAACGATAACGAAATAACTGCTCATATCATAATCCTCAGAATTCATGTAATTGGTGTTCGTTGGCCGCGAAAGGTAGAAAAGAGTAGAAGTAACGTACGTAGATGACTGAAGAGGAATCGAACGACAGCGAAACGTGGCAAAGAAAGGACGATTGCTCTAAAGTACCAGACCCTTGGATCGACTTCATGACTTAACAAGATGTTAGAACAGTTACTAAAGCCAGCTAGTATTTCAATGAAGAGGCCAGTTTTATCACAGAAATGTAGCTTTAATCACTGAATAAAGGTGGGCGCCGTTGACGATCGTAATGATCGTAGCGAACTTAAAGTAGTAACTTAGCGTACTTAAAGTATCGTTGACTGGGAATTTTTCTTATATTTAGTGATACTTACAGGGCTTGAAATAACGGCCGGTCAACGGACAATGTCCGGTCAGAATCGAGCATTGTCCGAGCAAATCCGTGGATGACCGGACATGTTGTCCGGTCATTTGGGCTTTCAAAGAAAATTCAATTTTGAGACAATCATGATGGAAATTTATTCAATCTTATCATGTTCCCAAAAAAGATATTAACTAGAGGGACTTTTGTTTGTGAAATTGATGACATTTCCTGTTGTCAGTCGCGACCGCAAATTGGCTACTGCTGTGCGTGTTGTAAAGTGCTCAAGATTGCACGCCCCGCTGCGCCGAAAATAACCCGCATAGCATCTGGTGCCAACAAGAGCGAAAAAAAGAAAGACCCAGAGTGACAGTATAATGAATTAGGCCACCCTCTTGCTCCAATAAAACTTCACAAATGTAACATTAAAATAAAAGGCTTTGAGTGTTAATGAAGTAAACATAAAAATAGAGTTTGTCTTTATTTCGCCCTGTCCGTAAATTTGTTGCGTGTTTATCACTAAACGACTAATTCACAAGGTTAACTCAACATTCATCACCCTGTTCTCTTTGAAATACATTATGTATAAGTTTTAACGCATTCAAATGCCAATGAATGCCCACTACAACGATTTTTTGTGCGAATGGCGATGTTACTTCGGCCAGCAGGTCGCGCCGAAGGATACGATTATTTTCATTGCGCAACGTGTAAGAGATGTAACGGAGAATTTACAAAATGTATATTACACTCAAAAGAAACGTTAACCAACAAAATTATATGAGCTGAAAGTTCATGCTCCCCATTCTAAAGACATTCTAAAAAGCAATTCTATATGTAGACAAATGAGAAATGGAGCCTCTATTGCAACTAGTTAAGATGGATTAAATTTGTCCGGCCAAAAATGCCTATGTCCGAGCAAAATCTCGTTTGACCGGACAATGCGTCCGGCGCCTGCCCAATAGTTATTTCAAGCCCTGACTTACGTACTCCGATTGGTATTAGTACCCCCAAAACACTGAATATCGATTCTGCTCGTAAAAAGGTGACTCCTCGGTCACCTTTTGGAGGTGGTATACCGGTGTGACCGCTAATGACGCTGGGAATAACACATCGTCTTTTGTTGCACTTCCACCGAGTTCCATACACATCGCGATGCCTGGGACAGATTGTTATTTTCTCAGCTTCTACCTCTGAGGAAAACAAAGCTACAAAATATAGTAAAAAGAATATATAAATATATTAACCCACGGAATCCGTCGGTAAAGATTAGGTTGTTCAAAATGGTTTTGCAGATTACTTTTGCAAATTAGAACGAGAAATGCTAATCTGCTGGCGTGCTCTCGGAAAGATTTTTGGTTGCCCTCCACCCCTTTCCCCCCCGCCTTCTTCCATCCAATCATTCTTTTTTTCTTACGCTCAAACTTACTAGCTAGGTATGGGCACTACTATACTTTAGGTTGCGTAGTACCTAGCGCAAACATTGTCTACCAGGAATAAGAATCGCAACAAATCCCTCCATACTAAACCGTAGTGTCAGATGGGAGGTACCGCGCAGCCAAAGAGCAACCAAGGCTCTCAAGTCCGGAATAACATTTTTGCCGCTGTGCGCCGATTTTAAAAGATCAGAACATAAGTCACGTGGCGTTTACCAGAAGAAATTCGTAAAAGTTAGCCTCTAAATATTCCGTAAGACTTGTAAAATCATTTCTTTTTGACAACAGCTACTCCTGGAAAGGTGTGATTTTCCCCCTAGAATGTTCGCGCCAAATTACGCTCGCCCCGGGCTAGCTCGACTCGTGCCAATGTTGTGTTAAAATTTTTCAGTAATGTACTTAACTATGTCAAAATAAAATATTCATTCCTTACCTGCTTGCCCCAAAAGTAACTGTATCTCGTCCTTTAGATTTTTATCCACCACTTTCAGTCCTCTTAAATGGGGTTTGATGTTTCTGGAACACTGCTTTAACGTCAAGCACTCGCTTGATGCAATAGTTACTCCACAAGCTACCCCGTTAACAAATTTAGCATACCCACATCTGACCATATTTCTGTTAAGGAATAAACTTGATTAAACATGCATTTTACTTGGCTTGTAGTTAATCTCACACCGTTAATGAAAACCCCCGTAAGTGAAATTTCACCGTAACCGGTGGCAGCACTTCCTCGTTGAAACAGATGGCTTGTGATTTTCTGTAATTCGAGGTTGATATAAAATAACCGGATTTGTCGAAAATTAAGGGAAATTGAATGTCACTGTTAGAGAAAAAAACAATAACTTACCTTCTTTCCAAACTGAAAGCACGGGAAGAACTGACAGCCCACGAAGACGTTGACATCTGATAAAGGATGTTCATTCCGGCTTGCGTTCCAGCGTGCATTTCTTTCTCCCAAGATATTATTGTTTCGTCGTGCGCAATAACTTACGGACTTTCATACAGTGCTGATGTTACCATCACCTAAGTTGACTTAATAAGAGGTTTTTTTTGTTTAATCTCATACCACTTAGTAGAATCCTTTTCACTGATTACGCTTTAAGTCCAGTGGCGGGAAAAATATACTAGAAGGGGAAGAGCCGCTTTAGAAAATTGTTCCTCGTACCGAGCACTGTGCAGGAATTTGCATAAAGCCGTATTTATACATTGTTGAGTCTAGTTAGCGTTTTCTAAAATTTTGCAAAGGTTGTGTTACCTTTATTTGCAGACGAAATTGGTTGTTATATGTATTTCACTGCAAACAGTATGATATAGTGGGAAATAATGTTGAACTAGTGCGGACATGATGTGACAAATTGAAGCATGACATGACTGCGTGTGAGTGAATCAAACGTGTGTAATATTTATATTCGCAAAATACAGACGCAAAATCGGGGAAGGCTCACCATTCTTTTCCATAAAAAGTGAAGTGTTATTTAGCGTTAGATAATAACCTGGACGAGGCAAGATTCATTAAAGAAGTTTTCGAGCAAGATTCACCGATTTTCTTTGTAAATGTCACTGAGGGCAAACTCGGGCAATGGCCGGGCAGAAATCATTGCGCATTGATATTAACATATTTCTTCTCCATGGAATTTGCCCAATTTTTTTATTCATCGGTCTAACTTGCCTATAAACAAACTCCATTCAGGTAAGGTGGTTTGTTCTAATTCGATGTGGCATGGGTGATATATACTTTTCAATTTCCACTAAATTTGTCTGCATTCCGAGTACCGAAAATATGTAGTAAGACAATTCAACCCTTCCAAGCTCATGCTGAACCGTTTTCAATTAAATGTACGTAAATACAAAGTTAAAGGATAGTTCTTTTTAGCTGTACGAGTAATGGACAATTTATTTCTATGCCAAGGCCGAAGTAAATGCTGTAAAAACTC